CTCAAGTTTGAGAAGAGGTTACAGGTGTTAAACATGGCAACTCCATAAAGTGTACTGCCTGTCCTGGTTTGTTAAATGTGTGTCATGAACAATTTCCTCTACAGATCTGTCTTAATTTCTGCCCGAAACCTTAGTAATTGATACCCTGCCTAGAGAAGAAGGTGGAGAAAGAAGGAAAAAAAGCCATTGGAAAATCATGTTTGGTGTGTAAACCCATGTAGGAAACCCATTCTTTTCTCCTGGTGTTTACAATTGTACCATCACCTTGAGTTAGTATTTGTAAATTTGTCTTCTCAGAGACAAAGGGTATGATCTGTTAGAGAGGTAAGAAAGCACATGAAACACAGCAGGGGATCCTCTCTGGATTATTTTTTTTTTTAAGTAGGTGGGAATGTATGATGTGCTGTTGATCCAAATATATTACCATTTACTGTCTCTGGGACCCTAGATCCCCCTTTCCCATCAAATGCACCATCATTCTTATTGGCTGTCATCACCTTATACATGCAATAGTTGCAGCTTCTCATGTAGGTGCATTGCTGTGTCCTTTAGTTACCAACTGAAAGCAAGTGTTCCCTACATGTGTGAGAACATCCCATATCTATATACTGCTTTTTTTCATCCCTCAGCCACCCTGAATGTGTCTTGCAGAAGGGCTTGTACATTGCAGAAAAACAGGAAGAGCTGTACAGACTTCTCCCAGTAAAGCTGGTGTCCATGCTGCTTTAGTTCACTTGGGGAAAGGGGGGGACACATAGCCTGGGAGAAACTGTCTCAGCAGAAGCTGGTGTGCATTGATTATTTAATAACAAACAAGCACAGCGCCTGCTTTTTTTATTATTTTTGTGCCTATGGAACTGGCACGCGTTCGGTGTGGTGAGATTACTGCCTAAGGCTGCCCTCAAAGTGCTGCAAAAACAAGAGCCCATTGGACTCATGCTGGTTCTGTTGCATGTCTTAATGAAGCTTTAAAATGCTTGAAATTGCCTTTGAAATTAAATATTCCACAGCTGCAAGTTAACTGCATACTTTGTAATAATTGCTTAGCCAAAAAAAGGAAAACTGTGAGGAGCAAAGGAAAGTTAGATTGATGGCTAGAACAAGATTAAATAAAAAATTCATGTAGAAGAGGAATTAAAAAAACTAGCATACCATCACAGGCTTTTGCACAAAGATTTCCTTTCCAATGGGAGCTGTTTTTCCCCACTATTACTCTGCATTTTATTCTCCGTTTGCTACAAATACTAGAAAATCTTTTTCTATAGGAATAATAGGGAAGATGATCACAAATTTATGCAGGAACTGGAACACAGAGTAAAATTTAAAAGCAGGGGTGTGCATTTCACTGCCATTCTGGGTGGGGGTACGGTAGACTGTAAATTATTAATGATTTGAGTGGAATTGCCTTTTTTAAAACCCCTCTTAAATCAACCGTGACTAAACAGAAGAAAAAAACAGAAAGATTTCTGTTCATAATTGTTGGCTCAACTTATACACTTAGAGCCCTTCCTCATTCAAATTTACTCGTCTTAGTGGCCATTAGTAACAGAATGAACAATATGCTGTGAATAAATTCTCTCATGGTTAGCTTTTCTCTCTGTACATTAAGACCAACAAATCATTTGTGGACTCGTATTTATGTCCACCAGTGTCTGAGAAGCATGCAATTGTTTACTTTGAAATTTATTTATTTTTTTGAAGAATCAGTACACCCTCAGGTTTTGTGTTCCTGCTATGGCAAGAAAAAGCATTCTGGAATGATTTTAAATTACAGGGCATTTAGGAAGAAAACACAGAAGATAGTTACAGTGAACAGTAGGACTTCAGGGAAATACCTACAAGCTAGTGCAGGCATTTTAAAATATGAATATGATTGTAAAGTCTTTAGGTGATGTTTGGTAATAGATATTTAATCTAGCAAAAGCACTTTCATTGCTTACTTGTTAAAGTAATTTAACGGATGAGCGATGCTATTAATGGACCACATGTATAATCCAGACTTTTTTTGTTCAAAACATTCCTTTAGGGTTTAAATTTCTAAACAAGTTTGGAGGCAATTTGAAGAAATTTAGCCTATATGCAAGCTGTGGGAAACATAATTTATGAACTTTTCTTCGTAGTCTTTCCTCTGCATTTAGAGGATACAAGAAATCACTATGTATACGTATATGGGATTTAGGTCAGCTGAGATATTTGTTTCAATAAGGTTGTTAGAAACCAGAGACACTAAATGGAGGGCTTGAAACCAGTTTTAAGGTTACCTGAACAAATATACAAGTTTAGACTTCACTAGTTGAGAAACTTGCAGTAGTAATGTCTGTAAGATAGTTCTTGCAAGAAATTTAAGCAAAAAAGCAGAAAACTCAAATCATAGCAAAAGCAGCCTTTCTTTCCATCCCAGCACCGTGGGATGCTGGAAAAATTGAAGATAGAGATCTGGAAAACGGATTATCAGGTAACAAAAATAAATTTCTAAGTTGTTTTAACAACTTAAAGTCATGCTATTTTGAACAATTGCAGATGTTAATTGATAAGCATTGCAGTTTTACTTCAACTAGGACTTCATTTCTTTTCTGAACACGTGGATATGTATTGCTGAAACTCAGGTATGACCTACACAGAGTAGCAAGTT